CACATCAGTAGGTGGCTCCAGATATCTAGGGAAGAAGGAAAAGAGGGAATCACTGAAAAGGAGATAAATGGAGAACAGAGGGTTGACTGGGAAAGACTGAGGATACCCCAGGGATGTCTCAGTGGGTTGGAGGAATGCCCTCAGGCTGGATTAGACTTTTCTCTGGACCCCCTGCCTCCACATGCTTTCTGATTGTGTCTTTGGGTGGTTGCATCCTCTACCGTATGATTGTACATTACACAATAACAAGGGCGAGTTGTGGGATCCTCCCTGTGGTAAGTGCTCAGCACATGTTTGTTTACTGAGATGAATAAATGAGACCTATTCTAGGGACAGCAGGGATTTGGGGAAGTGGAGAGAGATCCAACCTGAGGAAGGAAATCCTTAGAAAAACAAAAGTCCTCTTTGAGATTAGGTTCTGCATCCAGGCTGGGCAGAGGCAAGTGGAGAGAGATCCAACCTGAGGAAGGAAATCCTTAGAAAAACAAAAGTCCTCTTTGAGATTAGGTTCTACATCCAGGCTGGGCAGAGGCAGTCCTAGAGAGGTGAACACTTGGCAGGTGGCTATGCTGCCTGCAGGAGGGTCTGCTGCAGAGCCCTTCCCACTCCACGGAGGCTGCTCATGCTCTGTGAGCCCCTGGGTGACAACCTGCCTGGAGCCAGAAGCTGAGACTCTTTCCATTCTTGCTTCTAGGGAAAGAAGTGGGTGAACTCTCTACTCCGGAGTCTGAAAACTGTCAGGAAGGGAGGTATAAGTGGCACCAGGGGTGGAGAAGTATAGAACATCTGGAGTCATCCTGGTATGCTGGAGGAAGCTTCAGTGTCAGAGTCATTCATTCAGCAGAGATTTATTGAGCATTTAGGCTATATCAGACACTGTGCTAAACACAGGGGTGAGTGAGACAGACAGCCCTTGCTTTCATAATGGTTACAACTGGGTGGAGAAGACAACACGTCCACACTTACAACGTAGTCTGAAAGAATTATGTTGGGGTGCTATGGGAGACAGAAGATAGCCACAGAATCCAGATTTGGGGTTGCTGGGTAGTGACATTTAAGCTAAAACTATGAGTAGGAATTGGCTAGGAAAAAGGAAATATTATGGCCTGAATGTGTCTCCCCAAAATTCCTATGTTGAGATCTAACCCTCAATGTGATGGAATTAGGAGGTGGGGCTTTTGGGAAGTAATCAAGTCATGAGGGTGGAGCCCTTATAAAAGAGGCCCCAGAGAGCTGCCTTGCCCCCTTCTACCAGGTAAGGTCACTTGAGATGCATGCCCTGTATGAACCGGGAAGTCAAACCTGTTGGCACCTTGATCATCGACTTCCCAGTCTCCAGAACTTGGAGAAATAATTTTCTCCTGTTTATAAGCCACTTGGTTTATGGTCTTATCTCATAGCAGCATGAACTGACTAAGAAAGGCAGCAAGGGAATAGGAAGGTAGTTTCAGACAGAGGGAGTAAAAACCTGACCTATTAAAGGATCCAAAATAGCCCAGTCTAGCTGAATGTGAACTCTCAGTGGTAACAATGGTGAGAGGTGTGTCTGCAAGATCTGGTCAGCCACGATAAGGAGCTTAGGCTGTCTTGATATAAACTGAAAAAAGCTGTGGCTCCATGTTTCTTAGTTTCTGTATAGAGTTGCATTTGGAGAAGAGCAAGCCAATCAACAAATAATTTAAATCTTTATTGAGATCTCTTAAAGAATGCTAAGAAGAATCCATTTCACCCACATACCACTTCTCAGAAATCCCCCCTTTTCCTCCCTAATTGTCTCACTTCCCACAGCTTCCAAATCCCAAACTGTTTCTCAGCCCTCCTTACTTGGTTTCCTTCCTCTCTCTTTTGCCCCTTGCCCCTCGCCCCAGCCCATGCTGTGTGAATCTAATGACTGAGTCAGCTTAAAACAACATTAACTCAGAGCTTAAAATGTGAGTTTGATAAACCTTTCTCACCCTAACACCAATTCCTGATTTTATGTGTGTCCAACCAGCCTTGCAAGGGTTGAGTAGGAGGAGCATCTTTGCATTTGGACTTCCTCGAGGCCATCACACACCCTCCTGATGCTTCCACTGTGATCCAGGCAGGGTAGAAATGAAGGTGATCTGGGAAGACATAACTCAAAAGAAACAAAAATCAGAGGCCAGATCCCCCGGTTGAGCCATTAAGCCAAAGGGGCTGGGAAGAGACAGTAAATCCAGACATGGGGCCACTGGATAGAAATGGGAAATGACATGAAAGCAAAAAACATTTCAAAATGGAAAAAGGTGGAGCCAGGAAAATCTCCCTGTACTGTGGGGGGTAGCACCAGAATTTTTACAAGGCAACTGCAGCCTCATGACCTGTGATGGAGGGAAAGAAGACTGGTGATGGTAGCCAGTCAGCCAGCCTGCTGAGTGACCCGTGGTTGTACATTTCAATTCCTGCAGACAGAGAAACAAGGGGAGAGAGAAAAGAAGGGGAAAGGAGGTGAAAGAGGGGAAGGGAGGAAAGGAAGAGGGAAGCAGAAGCAGAAGCAGGAATAGAAACCAGGGAACAGAGAGGCAGCTTGTCATTCCAGATTCTACCAGAGTTCCATTACAAACTGATAAAAATCACGAGTTAGGACCTTGGAGAGAGTCCCCTAAACTCAATTGCCTTGGCCACCTTCTCTGATGGCATTTATATGAATACATTGCATTTATTGAGAAGGCCAACTTTTGTTCTACATCCTTTCGGGGGGCTTCCCCTCTCCCACTGCCTCCACAAAGGGCTCATAAATGCAAGCCCCAACACCAGCCAGATTCTCGGTCCTCTCCCCAAGCCCTTGCTGTTGGTGGTCTCCTCGCCTGTTCTTGGCCTCACTGTCCCAGGCTGGGTCTTGGCTCCTGGCTCACTGAGAGCTAGACTTTGCCAACTCCCATCCTTTTTGATTTGGGTGACCCTACTCTTCCTGAGTTTTTAAAGCTCTGGATTCTTGAAGTTTTATGCTCTGACTACTCTTTGGGTTTTGGGAAGCCTCTGTTATTTCAGATGAGAAGACTCCACCATGGCTATGAATCATGGAACCTTCTAGAAATAACCCCTTCTTGGTCCTGTTGGGCCTTATACTTTATACTGGGATGTGCAGATCTGAGCATGGGAAAAATTGGACTGTAGAAGAAGGCATTTTTTTGGATGAGAAGATCCTTTAAACTTGATGGCAAGGGGTTGAAACAGTACCTCCACATTCGAACTCAGAGATAACCCTGTGAAGAAGTCATAGTTATCATTCACTGAACACCTACAACAGTCGATTCTTGTTATTTGTAGGAGTTGTGTTCTGTAATGTTTCCGCTAATGTTGAATTAGCCAATAATGAACCATTGCTTCTAGGTGAAGTGCAGACCTGTGAGCCTCTGGTCACATGTTCCTCAACCGATCCATACATAACCTTGTCTTGTGTGTGTTTCTGTTTAAAGTCACCTTATTTGATATACATTGTTGGTTCATTAACATTGAACTCATGACCAATAGCACTAGAACTCACGCCTGAGTGAAGTTTACCTAACACACATATATTCTCCCTAAGGCACTTCATAGCCTTCTTGCACATAGGAATTCTAGAAAGTGCCTCAGCATTACACTTGGTGGCCATTTTACATAGTAGAATCAACAACAACAACAACAAAAAAAGTTGGTACTAAATAGACCATGAAAAAGATACTTGTTAGGTGAGTGTGGTGGCTCACGTCTGTAACCCCAGCACTTTGGAGAGCTGAGGTGGGTGGATTGCTTGAGCCCTGGACTTTGGGACCAGACTGGGCAACACGATGAGACTTTGTTTCTACAAAAAACTAAACAATTAGCAAGGTGTAGTGGTGAATGCCTGTAGTCCTAGTTATTCAGGATGCTGTGGTGGGAGGATGGCTTTAGCCCAGGAGGTCAAGGCTGCACTGAGCCATGATTGTGCCACCACTGCACTCTAGCCTGGATGACAGAACCAGACCCTGTCTCAAAAATTAAAAAGGACATTTGTTTACAGTATGAGAGCTGAAACGAGAAGGCAGAGCATCCCCTTGCTCCATCTCAGCTGGGAATGTGCACGTCAGGCTTCTCAAAATTGTCACTGCTCTGTGCATGCTTGCAAATGACCGCAAAAAGTCTTCGGACATTGATTTTGGGGTTATACATAAATGTAAGCGAGGAAGTGAATTTGCAAATATGGAATTGGTGAGTAATGAGGATTGATTTTATGTGCCAGGCAATGCTGGGGAGGTGAGAACCGATGTGACCTGTATTCTGCAGATGTTCTTGGAACTTCTGCATCTGACCCTCCTTTGGGGCTTACTAGGATCCAAGGCCAGAGGGGAGCTTTCTGGCTTCCCAGTCTGTGTTCCAAATGAACCATTTCCAGGGGTTCAGCTCCTCTGAGGGTGGAGGAGTCACCTTCAGCAGGACTCACCTTTGTATTTAAGGTGCAGAACAGCAGCAGCAGCTCTGTTTGTACTGTACAAAGAACAGCCTCTTGTAATTTGGTTCTTTTTGAACAGTTGCTAATAATTTTGCACTCAATTTCCATTTAAATGGAAACATTAACCTCTGGAGCCTGGAAAGGAGCCTAGAAGGGGCTCATAAGTACGGCTCTTATCCCCACAGCTCCGAGTGTCCCAGGGGTCAATCCAAACATACTTATAAATCACTGTCCTCAATAGATGAGGGGTTCACTCCTGTTTTGAAAGACCCTTGCCCTCCCTCCCAGTACAAAGTTCATTTTCTTGTTTACTCACCTTATCCAATGTCTGGAAGTTCTTCCTTAAGTCCAGCCTGAAGCTTCTCTGCTGGAACACTAAGCCTTCTTTTTCCTGGATCACGTGCAGAAGAGACATTAGAAACACACCTGAGCTGATAGTGAAGCTCCTAACAAGATGGGCAAGTGACCCTAGGTGGAGGCTGGAACAAAGCCCAGGGATCATCAAAAATAGCATTTTGTCAACCAGCAACAAGAAGAATCCAAATGATCCCACATGAGTCACAAAACATTTTCACAGATATTATTCTGTTTTATTTTTGTAATTCCTCTGTGAGAAAAGTATCTCACTTACCTGATTCTACAGATGAGGCAACTGGGAAATAGAGTTAACCCACATCAATTACAAATTGGCAGGGCTGGGGCCCCAGAGCCCCTAGCCTGCACTCTGCAATGATTGTGAAATTCTGAGAGGCTGGTCAGCTTCTGTGTCAAGAAATTAATGATATTGATGACATAACCTAGAATGCAGTCATTGGGTATCCCTAAATCCTCCAACTTCCTACTCTAAGATATCAATCAAAATTGGTCTTCACTGCCCCCTCACATGTGGCAGAGAACCCATGCTCTTCCCAGTCTTTGTCCTGCATGGCCTGCACCCTAAGACCTTGAATTACTTCTTTTTTTTTTTTTAATTATGGGTTCTCGCCTTGCATTTTGTCTCCTGTGTTGGATCTCCTTTTTTGGCAGATATTATCTTCACTTATGGAGAGGACGAGCAGGGGTCTACAGATGTGAAGTGACATCTGCTTGCTGCATGTGGTTGGGTAGCTGGGATGCTGCACAAATGCACTGTTGGGAGGGTGGAAATTCAGCCATGCAGCATTTGCCAAATCAGGAACTATGAGGTGCTACATCCAATCAGAATATTATCTTATTTATCTGTGCAAAGAGGTGTCTTCTATTTGCACAAAGACACCTTTTATAGGCCAGAGGTGGCCCTGAGGAACATATTCAATGTCACACATCCAGAAAGTCTGTAGCCAGAGTGGAAAGCCAGGTCAGCTTCCATCATCTGGTCTCATGTGCCCTTCTTTCTCCTAGTGCTCAGCTCCTGGAATGGGAGAGGGAGACATGGGGAGGTGGAGGTGGAGGGGAGAGGGGAAGGACTGCCTCCCTGTTTTCAACTTTCCAATCACCCTCTTCAGCCTACTTATCTTCTGTTTCCAATAATGAAGCAATCTTTTTGGTCAGCACCCTCCACCCCCATTCTTTTTCTACCACTTGCAGTATGGATTCTAAAAATAGCAATAATTAGACAAGTCTGCTCATCATTCCAGGTCTTTCTTGTCTTTGTTTAAATTCTGTTGGTTTTATCTCCTATAATTTCTGACTGATCTGGAGGAGCCTGAGCAGTGTGCAGTGATACGTGTGCAGACTATGATTAAGTGTGGGTATGTGTGTGAGCGTGCATGTGTGTATATGTGCATGTGTTCACATATGCATGCTTGTGTGTGTACATGCATGTATGTATGCATTGTGCACATGTGCAATGTGTGTGCATGTAGTGTGCATGTGTGTGTGTGTATATATATAATTGTGTAGTGTGCATGTGTGTGTGGTGCATTTACATGTGTGTAGTGGGTTTTGCAATGAGGAGGAGGCAGAAAGGAGTGTGGACCCATTATCTGTTGTTATGCATTAGTTGTCCCTCTCAGGATCCTTGACACACAGGGACCCTCTCCTGAATGTTGGTGACCCAGTCAGGTACTTTCCGTTTGCTCCTCCAGATTCCCTCTTCAGCCTTCTCAGCTCTACTCCCTTTCCTGGGGCTGACTTCATGGATCACAGCAATGGTTCCTTGCACTCTTGATTTCTGTCAAGCTTAGCCAAGGAGGAGTGCAGGTGGTCAACTGGAGGAAAAGGGGCATGTAGGGTCAGGGCATTTGTTCCCCTGGCCTCTTTCCTGCAGACTTGCCTTGGGCTGGTGGCCTTCCTTGACCATTGCCCCTCTCAAGGAAGCCCTCTGTGCAAGCTTATTTCTTTTGGGTTCTGGTCACTGCCCTTTCCTTTATTCCTCTGGATTAATGTATTCTCCCTTTCCTCCCATGCCCTGCCTACATTTCTGTAAACAGTCTTTCATTAAAGCCTCCTCAAGTAGTCCTAATTTGAGTGTGCTATGTGTTTTCTGTTGGAATCCCGACTGATACAAAATTCTCTTGGTCACTGCCATTGGCTAGTTAGATTGTAACCCATATGGTGGTCTCCATTTGTCTCTGTCCTTCAATATCTGTGTCTGGCTCCTACCTCTGTGGAGGAAAAGGTTGGGCAATAAGCTTTACTATTTCTTCAGCTGAGCTCTTTGGTACAGGCTGCTGCTTCTCTGACCAGTGGAGCTGCCATTCTGCTGGGAAGGAGGGCACCCTCTCTCTCCTGCCTGTTGCAAGTATTTCCTCACCTATTTTTCCTAAAGCATACATCCACTGGATCAGTAAGATGGTTTAAGAAGATTTTTAATCAGGAATCAGGTATTATGACCCTGGTCAATTGTCTACCTCCCTCATTTCCACGCTTAGAGCAAAGCCTTGCTGCCAAGCTCTCTGGAATCTTCCACACCGATGCTACGGGGCCTTCGGTGGATTTCCAGCCTTGACCACAATGTTACTCCTTTCCTCCCTATTTTCTTTTAATCCTTTCTTCCCTGATGTACTGCTTCCACTTATTTTTCTCCCCAGACATTACCTCTTCCTAAAGAAAGAGCAAAGCCCATGTTCATTTAGCACTTCCTTTTTTTTGGGGGGGGTAGGTTTCAGTCTTGGTATTGTAGGGGAGGAAAAGCTTTTTTCTGTACCCTCTCATGTCCTGTACCTGGGGATGCGCAAATTAAACTGACAGAGGACAGATTAGCAAGAGAAAAGGAAGAGCTTATTTATGCACACAAAATGTGTACACGTGGACACTCAGTGATGAGTACTCAGTGATGTGTAACTCAAAGGGATGGTTAGAATTTGGAGCTTATATACCTAATTTAGGAAAAAGGGTAGGGAGAGCAAAGGCTTCTATGGGAAGGACAAATAGGTTTCTTTAGGAAAGACAAATGGGTTTTTAGGAGAACAAATAGGAGGTAAAGTTTAAGATAATGTTTGTTTATGCAGGTGTGAGTGGTCTTTCTGTCTTCTTTACGGCCATAAAACTCCCCCGGAGAGGAGATTTATGGGAGATTTATTCTTGGTTTCTCTCCTGGGAATAGACTTGCCCCAAAGAGGGAATTTATGGCAGTTCTCATTTCTCAGAAGTATCTCTGTTGAGTCAGATAAGGGAAGTTCTGAGAAGTCTTCTTTCTATATCTGTTGAATCTCAAATATCTTCAGCTTAAAATAATCTTGATGCCAAGTCTGGGATTCTGAGTGGGTTCACACAGTGTACATTGCAGGTTAGTAACTTTTCCCTTTG